TCGGGTTTTTCCTTGACTGGAGTACTGAAGTCAGAATTTTAAGGCTTTTGTTGCTGAGTCTCAAAAGCCTGAGTTGATGCCTGTGGTGTGCAAATGCTGAAACCCTGAAACCTAGCCCTTCCTCGCATCTGGTTACTGTCAGCCGTCTGATTTAGCGAGTAGCAGGTCCCCACACCTTCCTTTTTCCAAGGCAGATTTTTTTCCCCTCTTTTTTTATTGTCAAAAAGCCTAAAGTTGTAAGCTCCAAGAGTTTGTGTCTTTTCAGAGCAAATGGGCCCTGTCCTCTCCCTGCACGTGTCCGGGTGCCTCTGCAGCCCATTCTGCTGCAAATCATAACCTGACCCTGGAGAGCCCTGGGCTGGGAAACTGGGAGAGTGTTTCCAGCACGAGTGCTGCTGACCTGCTGCTCCCCGGAGCTGTTGAAGATGCTCGGGGGATTTCTGGAGCCCCTTTGTATTTTGTCCCCTGTGAAGGATTTAGCAGCCCAGAGGATTCTGCAATTTTTAGTAAATCTTAGTTTTCCTTCTAGGTCACGGGGCACATGTGTTTAGTAACACAAAATCATAGAATCACAGAGTGGTTTGGGTTGGAAGGGATCTTACAGCCCACCCAACCCCCCCTCTGCCGTGGGCCGGGACACCTTCCACTAGCCCAGTTTGCTCCAAGCCTCATCCAGCCTGGTCTTGAATGCTTCCAGGGATGAGGCATCCTAAATATGGTGGTTGCGGAGATTTGGGCTGAAATCCGGTATTTCTGGTGTTCTGCAGCCCCTGGCTGGTGTTCCAGTCAACATTTTTTCCATTGCTCGCATTCCTCTGGTTTCTGCTGGGAGGAGACACACGCAGGCTCCCTGCTGCTGCTTGCAGGTAGGTTGCTCAGCCAGGCTGCGGAGCACAGGACTTGCTTATAAACCATGAGTGGAAAATCCTGGTATTCCAGCTCATGTTCCCTTCCTTGCTTCGGATTTATTCCAGATCTGTTGAAGTTGGAAGGCCTTTTGTCTCCGTTTCAGTGGGGCTTTGGGAGGGGGTGACAGCGGTGTGCTTCCTGCATGCCTCTCAGCAGTGAGCGGGTCTCCAGCCTGCTGGGTTACCCGTGAGCCGCCCCACAGGGACACCTCCGAGCTCGGGAACAGAGATTCCCGAGGCAGTTATTCCCAGGGACACGCTCATCCTTGGCTGACAGGCCACAGCTCAGTGATTGCAGTAGCTCAGGTACCTTGATGTCACTGTTTGCCGCACGTCTGATCCGACATGTAACGATAGTACTACACTGCTCAAACTGTTGTCCTCCTTGGATTTTCCTGTCTCTTGGTGCTCTGCAGTGCTTTCCCATCGCTTCTCTGAGCCTCCAACTGTTACATTTGGAGGCAAGACATACCCTGAAAATGAGAAGGGGATGAAACCTTTGCCTGAGTCTCCAAACAGCCCACAGCCCTCCACAAGGATGGGCTTCCTCTCTTTCCATCTGGGAGTGAGAACCCAGGAGGAATATTTGATATGCCAGGTTCCCTTGAAGCTCTCGGACTGGTGAGGTCAGACCAGGTGCTCTTCCCTTGGGAGTAGTGCAGGATAGAGCGTGTTTGGATGGGTGCTGCCGAGGTTCTCCAAAGAAGGAGTCATGGATTCATAGCCCTGCAAAGCAAATCCCTCTATTTCCACCCTGACGTGGCAGGAGGGGGGTGCTGAATCCCTTCTCCAGAGGAGACTGGTGAGCTCTGCTGGATCCTCACACAGAGGGAACCCGTGTAGCGGGGAACTGTAGAGATAATGCATGTTATCAGACGGGAGATAGCGCAACCTTGAGACATGGAGTCGCAGGGAAGGTGGCAGTTTGTGTCGTCGCTGGTGGGGTACTTGCTTTACATTGTTCATCAGTGCTGCGTCAGCTGGAGCCCTGGCTGAGGTGGGGACCTTTTTGTGCTAGGCACTGCACAAATACCCCAAGATTCTGTCATTTTGGGGCTGGGCTGTGCAGAAGAGGTGAGCTGAAGGGACTTGTGCAGGGAGGAAGCAGAGTGCTGCAGTGGCTTGCCCGAGGTTGCACAAGAGTGAGAGGCTGGGGGGGGTGGGGGTGGCGTTCAGATCTCACGGGGCAGCGGCCAGTGTGTTATCCAAAAGCCCTGGCCTCCCTCTTCCCCAGTGCCCACCCTCCCTGTGCCTTCTGCTGTCTGCTCAAAGGAACCGCTGAAAGGAATAAAAGGATCCTGACGGCCGGTGCCAAACTCCTCGCTGGCTGGAGCCCGGCTGTAAGCTCGGCAGGTCTCCATGATGCAGCAGCACAACGCTGCCTCGTTCCTGCTCTTCTTGAGACAGCTCCAGCAACTCTGCTTAGCGTCTCCTGAGGGATCTGGCATTGGCAAACAGCCAGGACAGTGCTTTCAAACACATGGAAAACATTATCCAGATCCGTGCTTTTAAGAAGGGTTTGGGGTTTCTGCTTGATTGCCTTTTCGCTGCCGTTTTGTGGGTTTTTTTGTTTTAGACCATAGCTTTTTCCAAGGGTTTAGGCCTGATTCCTTGGCCTGTGCTGCTGCTGTAACCTGGCTGCTGTCCGGCAGAGAGCTGCAGTGAGCGACGAGAAGTGCTGTGTCAGGCACAGCTGGGCTGTCGGGTGAAGGCAGAGGCCTGGCCCACGGCAGCCAGAGCGTAGTACCCGCAGAGATTCGAACGCGAGCACGGGATGCGGCCGGCCGAGTGTGCAGGCAGCCTTGCTCTGGGCCTCACAGGGGAGGTGTGTGTGCCCTTGGGCTGGGACTAAGGAGGCCCTGAGCAAGTCCCAGGTCACGGCTACATTGCATGGTCATGTCTCTTTGAGCCTCAGTTTCCCTTTTTGTAAAGTGGGGGAATCCCCGTGGTCTCCTTTATAAAGAGCTTGGAGATCTAGGACTTGTTACCTTCGGATAAGAGAAAACCAGTTGCTAGAACCACCCCAAGATGCTTCACCTCCCCAAAAACTGGAAGTGTGAACGGTGGGAGTGCAAAAGCCTGTCCGGAGCAGTCAGGACCCAGGAGCTCTGCACTGGCTGGGCGCAGCATCCGCGGGGTGTTTCTCCTCAGGAGCCCTTTGCTGGCGCTTGGCTCTTGTCCTGTACAAAGGGATTTTGGTTGCCTTAGTAAACCATTTTTGGCCTGTCTGCCCTCGCTGCAGATGTCTGTCTGCTCTGTCTGTTTAGCCCTTGGACTCTGCTGCTGGCAGTGAGAGTACCAAGACTTAACTATACCTTGGACAGAAAGGAGTCTCTTAATTGAACCCTTCCTGAGCAGCTTATTCCTGGAGTGCTGCATCCCTGTCTCCTTGGGTAGGCTGAAACACCCTGCGGGTGCAGGGATGAAGGTTTTTGCTGAACCCTCGTCTTCTCTGATGGGAACTTCTGCTTAAGCCAGAAGCATCTCTGTCTGATGGCTGTGAGGATGGGCAGCTCCTTCCTGTGGGTACCCTGGCTCCGAAGGGGGCTCTTGGAGAGCATCTGGTGAGATCTGCTGGGACGACAGCATCATTTGTGCCCTGAAGTCAGCACTGGGATTCAACAGAAGTTAAAGAAAACCAACTCCATGTGTTTCTGCACATTATCATTGTGTAATGCTTGACTTTTCAAACTTGAACGTAGTAAAAAACCTGTGTAAGCAGCGGAGGAGGAGACATGACCCCCTCTGCTGACTTCTGGGGGGAGAGGGGTTCTCTTCCTGGGTGATCATCCAGACTTTGCTGGTCATTTCTGAGCAGAAGCTGGGAGTGAGATCCAGAATCACAAACATGTTGCTTGAAGTAAGGTTTCTTTCATGGTTTTCTTGACCTTGTAGCTCAGACTGTGCTGGAAAGAACTCCTTTAATGCAAATGTAACTAAATCAAACGTGGGATTTTTGATTTCTGCTAAGATCCAGCCCTGGCTTTTGTGTTCAGCAGTACAGCCCAGGGTTTTTGAATTAAATAGCAAAACTCCCACTGAGCTCATCGGAAGAACAGGATGAGGCCTGTGCTAATCGCACTTGAATGGGAGGCAGCCTTAAGTTCTGGGGGTGCAGGGAAGTTTAGGCTTCGGTGTCCTTGGCTGGGAGTGCCAGAAGGCTCAGCACAGCCAGGAAAGGAGCTCCCACGGAGGGATCCCTTTCTGCCACCCCAGCTGCCAAGGCTGTGGGGCTGCCAAGCTTCCAGAGCTTCCTTCATCTGGGGTGGGTGGTCCTGGAGGGAGAAAGGCAGTCGCAGCCCGGGTGACTGAATGGGATGTTTCTGTCGCGTGCTGGGAAGCCGGCCTGAGCAGCAAAGCCACGAGTGAGCAAGCTCCCTGGGCTCTGCAGTCCAGGCCAGCTTGGCTGTTAATGGGATGAGGGTTGTACTGATACAGCTTTACATCCAGAAGCCTTTTCTGCCCTCCACGCGGTTCCCCAGCGCGGTGAAAGATCAGGTTTGTGTCTGTGGCCTCTGCTGAAATCCCTCTGCCAGCCATGGCACGAGCTCTGTGCTCGCCCTTGCTGTGGCAGGGGCTCCCTTTTGGGACCCTCCTTACTAATGGCTGCTCTGGGCAAGGGGTTTTGGGAAGCAGCAGGTAACCTGCTTTGTGAACCGTGCTCAAACTGGGGATGGGGAGAGGACCAGAGGCAGAGCCTGCTCTCCTCTGCTGGGACTGTCAGGCACAACTGGCGCTACTCATTTTTGTAAGACTGATGTGGGTCGTGGCCAGTGGAATGCCTCCTGTCTCAGTCTCCTGAGAAGTCTCACTTGCTGTTAAAACAGTTGTGTACTTGTAAAAGCAGCTAATTATGGGTATTTCAGTATTTGGGTGATTGAGGAATCATTTTTAAAGACACCATATCTTTAGAAAACACTGAACACTCATCCAGGAATGATTTGAAGGAGCCTGACTTTGACCTTGCCGCTTGCTTTGGAAAATCCAGGTTTATGTGAGCTTAGGTAAATACTTGGACTTGGTGCTACAGGAGGTTGTTCTCTGAGCCCAGGGAGATGTGTACAATGAGCCTAACTCTGTCTTCTTCCACAGAGCAGACTTCCCATGACTAACAAATGCTGGCCTAGATTATGAGCTCAAACAAGAACGCTCGCTACAATCGTTTCTCCAGTGGCACGACAAACATCGCTGCTTCTGAAAATACTAACGGGGTAAGGCTGGGCGGTGTTGGCAGGGAGGGGGGCAGGGCTGCTTCTCACGTTCTCATCCTTTCTTTTGGGAAAGTCAAGATGGCTTTGGCAAATATGGTACCTTCTTCCTTCTTAAAACCCCCCCTGTTAATGGATAAAGGTGGGAATATACGAGTATGGGTTTGCAGCAGTTCAGGAGAGGCAGGAAGCCTTCGGGCTGTGCTGCGGCGATACACGCTGACCCTCATTTTGTCAATGTTTCAGACAAGAATGGAAACAACTTTTGGGCCAGCCTACTCCGCTGTGACCACCATCACAAAGGGTGAGTGTGTTTCATGCATAGAGCTTCCCCCAAAGCGCTGAGCGTGATTCCTACCAGGGTGATGGTGTTTTACAGACCGCAGAGCTGTTGGGAGAATCGCCGTGTTGGTTACGAACAGGTGTCAGGGTGCTGGGTTTAGTAGTGTGCAGCCCAAGTGTTATTTAATCATGGCATCTGATCACCAGGCAGGAGGGAAATGGGCACGCAGAGAAATTTTTTCCCATTAGGCAGACTTAACAGTACCACTGGGAAGCCTGTGCTTAAAAGAGGATAATACAACAGGTTTGATACAGAGCTCAGTCCCAAATCTTATTTCTCTCTGTGACTTCTCACGCGATCATTATCAGTGCTGAGAATTCCCGTCCCCACTCCCTGCCCGACTCTGGGTCACTCTGGATGCTTCGGTAAAACCCCCATGGCCATTTTTAGCTCTGGCAGGAGGGAGTGCGAGTGTACCTTAAAATCCTTGTGCTTTGTTCCCAAAGCCCAGCAGGGAGGAGTCTGAGCCCTGGCACGTGGTATGAATGTTGGAAGAGTTCTGGTTTCGTTTGGGAATGAAAATATCCTTACTTTAGCAAAGATAAACTGTGGCACTTGACACTGGTTTAGATAAGGAAAGGCACATCTCCCCGGAGGAAATGTCTGGATTACATTTGTGCAGGACTCAGGACTCTGGATGGGTTTGGACTCCTGAATATTTACATTCACAATTTTATTTGAGTTGGTAATATGATGTTTATACAAATATCTCCAGTTGAATTTTGTGTGCTTCCCTTCTGCTGCAAGAATAACCAGACCTCCCTTGATCGAAGCAATTTTTGGTGGTGACTGAAATATGTGGGAGTATAAGGTTTCCTTTCAATAGTATTTTTAACCTATGGACCTGGTAGAATATTCTCTGGGCTCTTCTCTGGGTAAGCTACCTTCAGAGGGCTGCGTGCGTTCCAGCAAGCTGGCAGAGATCAGGTTGTTCCGCCTGCACTGATATGTCCGGGTCAGGCACTGGAATTGCAGAATCCCTAATCTTTTCCTTTTTCAAGGAACATTTAGAGCTACAGCGACTGCCGTTTAGCTCAGAAATGTTACCGAGGGGCCTAAATGCTTGCCTTTTCTTCTTCTCTTTAAAGCTGACGGGACCAATACTTTTAAGCAGCATCGTCGGACGCCATCCTCCTCCAGCACACTCACCTATTCCCCCCGCGATGAGGACGATGGCATGGTAGGTCTTGGCTGGCTTAGCTGGTTATATGTCAAATGAGCGATGGCTGCTGCTCCTCTGCACTTCCCTGCCTCCCCCACCGTTCCTTGTGTCGAAGGCAGATGTCTGCGCCAGCGGCAGGACCAGCCTCGGCGTTTCCCGGCTGCTCCCGGGATTGGGGCAGTGGGGAAGCAGAGGCTGCATTGACCCAAGGCATTAGGCTGACCTGGCTGGTGCTCGTTTTCAGGCTGCTTCAACATGGTATGCGGTTACAAAGCCCCGGAGCTATGAATCCCCCAGGCCTGCTCGTGAGGCTGTACCTGCCTCCTGACCTGAGCAGCACGCTCTGGGTCTCTGGAGAAAGCAGAGCTGGTGTCGGGGTGTCTGGGACAGTGGCTGAGGCCAGGCAGTCTCCATCGCGGTGTGTTGGACACCCAGCAGTGCAGCTTGCCTTGCAGTGAGGACCAGAAAAGCCATTCCTCTTTCCACCTCCAGATGGGGCTTCTGACCACAAGGAGCACGTTGGAAACCTGCGGAGCGGGTTGTCGGACACCGAGGAGTATGCTCTGCTTCAGGAGGTTACATCATCAGGGTCTTCTCACACAAACCATTCCCATGTCTCGCAGTATCCGCAGAAAAGCGCTGCCTGGTTTCGTACCCAGCTTTCTGGGTTTTCTTTTTTTTTCATCACACTCCCTTCTGAGTAACTTCTTTCGGGGGAATTTAGTGATCCGACAGGCCTCAGCTGCTTAAAGAGAAATTAAATCAGCTAAATCAGTCAAACCAAGAACAGCAACAGCAAAGCAAACCTCAGCGAATGGGCAGAGCGCTGTGAGGCCTCGCTCTCCTATCCCTAGTGCTCCATCTGCATCTTATAACCACAGGCTCTTATTTAGATGAAGCACCTGAGTAGTAGACTCTCTGCACTAAGTCGTTGTAGGCTGCCAGGTTATGAGATCCATCTTCCAAGGCAGGGATAAATGGATCACGGCTGCTGCTCTGCGCTGGTAGAGACTGGGGTCAGCGACAGTGTGGAGCTACAACACTTCTTCAAATGAATTTGACACCAGATTGCAAAGAGCTTTATTGTCAGCATCCTACAAAGTTCCTTCTGTCGCTCAGAGATCCTGCTGCGCTTTATGCGAGCGTGTGTTTGTTTTTTCAGAAAGTCCTTTGAACGTGTGCCTCATGTCCTTGGCAAACACAACTCTCCATCGCATCACCGACCCCGTGCTGCTGGGCTGCTGTTCCAGGAAGCCCTTGGCTGTCAGCACGGGTCCTGTGGGCAGAGTGCTGTGCTCGCTGCACCCTTTTCCTGTGCTGTGCCGTTCTCGTGGAGCGTAGATGAGGGTTTTTCTGGAGGGGAGAATGTTACATTTAGCGATGTCTGGTTAGGGTGATTCCTTTGAAATCCACAGTGTGACGAAGTGATGCGTTCAACCACGAATAGGAGAGATCTCTCCTATGATGTAGCCTCAGTCCTCTTGGACAGTCTCATCCCCCCTTCCCTCGGGGGCTAAATATTCTTAAATGAGAATCGCAGGAGGGTTAAGGAGCGGTACAGGAAGCAGCCTGCAGCACAAGGTGCTAACACACCAGCAGCGCCGCAGCCCTGCTCTGCCTCCTGCTCCAGACAAACGCTCACTGACCCTTTTAGGATGCTTCCATTGCTTTGTCAAGAAATAATCTGGGATTTCCCTTCCTCATTGCTAAGTTTTCCCTTCTCCAGAAGCTGCCAAGGACCTGTCAGCCATCAGAGAGGCAGCTGGAGAGGAGTCAGAGACCTCCTGTGACCTCCACCACCCCTTCTTCTTTCTTTTTAAAGCTTCTGTTAATGAAACCAGAAGCAGAGCAGCGTGTTCTATGCGCAGGGCAGGGATTATTGAGCGACTGCTGTCATCTTTCCTGAAAGCAGTGCCACGGGTTCCCAGCCTCGCCGTGCCTACAGGGAGCAGGAGCGAGGACGGCACTGGAGCCATCATGTGGAGGCTGCTTTTGTAGCTGACGTCATGGGAAGTCCCCCTGAAGATTACAGCTGGATATTGGAGATAATGGATGTAGAGCTGACTGCTCTCTGGTGTCTCGGTGTTTACAGGGAGCTTCACCCCCGAACCAGAGGCCAGACTGAGTTACCTGCCAGCCACAAGCTATCCATCTTCCGTCAAAAGACGTGTGAGCACGCCGTCCTTGGGCTGGTTGAAGTTGGGCTTGATGTTTAGTGCAGAAATAGCCCTGGTACATCTGTGGTGAGGTGGGACCCTGCTCCCACCTCCCATATCCCCCAATCTGTGATCGTCCCAAATTCAGGCCTGGCCGAAGCAGAGCCATTGTGTCACCTTGTCCCTGTGGCATGGCCTGGCACTCCTCGGGTTTGGTGCCTACGGGTGCCCCCCAGCCTGGACAGGTGCCCATAGGGTGGAAGTCGTGTGATCCTCGTGCTCTGTCATTGTTTGCAGCGCAGGAGTGCCCAGCAGTCAGGGCCCTCGCGCTGGCCGCTCTGCGCACCACCAGTGCTGCAAAGCTCAGCCTAAATAGCCAGGGTAGGAGTGGGAAGCAGTGCAGCGACTAACCCTGTAGAGCTGAGGTCTCTCACGTCTTACCCTTGTTTCCTTGGCAAAATCAAAGGCTTCAGGTACTAGAGGGGCAGCAAACACCAGCACATGCCTCTGCCATTCAGCGTTGCCATTCAGCCCGAGTGGAGTGAGATTTCTCAGCACATCACCTTCCCTCCTGCGTGTTTTACACCAGCATTAGCCCAGCCAGGATGCAGGGAGCTGAGACTATGGTGCTGCACAAGGCTAGCAAGGCTGTGTCTCGCCCCCCTGCCTCCTGGAAGTGCTCTTGGGCTGCAGCCCCCCTCCTTTCCATTGGTGATCCGCACAGGATGTTGCTCTTGATAAAACTGCCTCCTGCAGAGTCTGCCCTTGCTGCCCTGGTCTCGGTGTCACCTCCAGAATGGAAACTATGCACAGTCATTCCTGTTGTTTTAATAACTTCTGCTACTAGTAGAGGAAAATAATAACATTAATGGATCTGCATTTAACCATGCCTGCTCAAGGTTTACATATTTAGCCAATAAATATGCCTTCCTTAAGAAAAAGAGCTTTATGCTTCATGTTCTAAGCAGATGCAGCGTTTCTGAGCTCCTAGAATCCCACTGTCATAAAATTCAAGAAGCAGCGTGGTGTGAAGACCCAGCAGGATCCTGTTCTGCTCCTCTTCTGCAGCCCAGCAAGGGCTGCACCCTGCCTGCTCAAGGTTTACATATTTAGCCAATAAATATGCCTTCCTTAAGAAAAAGAGCTTTATGCTTCATGTTCTAAGCAGATGCAGCGTTTCTGAGCTCCTAGAATCCCACTGTCATAAAATTCAAGAAGCAGCGTGGTGTGAAGACCCAGCAGGATCCTGTTCTGCTCCTCTTCTGCAGCCCAGCAAGGGCTGCACCCAGGCCGCACTATAGTCTGTCTCTGGGGGAGACAGCAGGCTCTGAAGCCCATCTTACAACTTTGCTGAATTTCCTGACTGCCCCACTGGCCTCTCCCATCACTTTTGCCCGCCCCTGTGTCACAGGCTTTTGCCCAGGGCAAGCACACAACACGCAGCTCGGGAACGCATGTCGAACGTCAGGAAAACCCGTTTTGCTCACAGGGTAGCGTGGGACAGGAACGTGGGGCAGCAGGGTCTCATCTGTATGGCTCAACCTCTTCCAGTGGGCAGCAGGGCCAGCCATCTCCAGAGCTCCTTCCAGCCAGCACTTCCAGGATTTGTGCCTGATGTAGGCGACGGTCGAGCCACGCATAGGTGTGGTACATGCAGGTGGCCTGGCCTTGGTCACCTCTTGATGCTGAGTGTCTGGAGCTTATGCTTCGTCCTGCCATTCCTTCGTCAGCCCATCCATTGTGCTCCTTCAAGACTCTTACCGCTTCCCTGCACCCTTCCCCGTCTGCCAGCAGAATCTCCCCTGGAGTAACGCAGCAGGGGCTGCTCTAGCCCCCCACATCCAATCACCCCATGGTCTGAAGAGTCTCCAGTTTCACTTTGACACCAAATTGCATCTTGGCTACGCGCTGCTGGTTGATATTCCCCCCCTTTAGCGATTCACCGCTGCTTAATATTCCAGTGGCAGCATTCCCTCAAAGCCAATCCCAAGGCTGCCGTAACCAGTGGGATTTTTCTTGATTGGTGCACGCGACGTCCACTTCGCTCTCCCCGCCCGAGCAGGAAGCGACAAAGCCAGCCTGTTACTGAATTGAATAGAAGGAAGTCTCCACACTTACGCAGAGAAATTTGGCAGAAGTGAGATAGGGAGTGAAACAACAAGTGCTGCTGCAGGAGTTGCAGACGCTGCCCAAGTCGGGCTGTCTCTGGGGGAGGCTTACAAAGCTCTGCTTGAAGGATTAATTCCTCCAAACCCTTGCTTTGCGGCTGTGCGCAGTGAGTATGCCAACGAACGCACCTTTGAGGGACGTTGTGTGCTTGGAATGGAGGTGTCAGCTCGGATTAGGGTGTGCAATGTGAGCGCTGCCTGTCCCGTCTCCGAGCAGCGTGCAGTGTTCCTGGCTGCCAGGGAGGGTGCGCAGCAGCGAGAGGGGCTGCTGCTGGGGGTCGCGCGTGGCAGAGCGGATGAACAAATGGGGTGGCTGAGTTTGGTGGAGGGAAGGGACTGAATTTGAAGTCTCTGTGCCTGGGGTTTTGGAGCAGGGGGGAATTACTTGGAATAATAAGAACTGGTTTTTGTCTCTTGGAAGCCTCCGATCAGCACCCCGCGCCGCTCCGACTCTGCTATCTCCGTCCGTTCCTTGCACTCCGAGTCCAACATGTCCTTGCGCTCGACGTTCTCGCTCCATGAGGAAGAGGAGGAGCCAGTAGGTATTTCGGATTGTCTGAAGGAGCAGTATTAGGAAGTTCAGTGTCAAAAGAGTAACTTAGTGCACTATGTGAGTACGTAGAGCTGTCATGGGCAGATCTTTCCTGATGGCTGGCAGCTAAAAGCCAGGCTGTCAGGATTCCTGGTTCTAATTTTGTTTCCACCACTGACTTCTGTCAAGTCACTGTGTTTCCTTGTGTACCGTTTTCCTCACTGGAAAGAGGGTACAGTGCTGAAGCTTTTTGGCTTCTCAGAAAAACTGTAGGTCTTTGCAAAGTCACGTGTGATTCCTTGGCTCTGCTGCAGAGCAGAAGAGGGTCACAGGTCTTTAGGCTGGTGTTCTAGCCCCAGGCAGCAAGACTAATGCAATTCCCTGCTGATTCCAAGCCCCAGCCTGCAGATGGGGCTGTGGCACCCCACTGACTTGATTGTAAGCCCCAGGAGGGTGCAAGGAATTGTCCACATGTGACTCCTGTTGGGGGAGGACATCTTTAAGATGAGATTAGATTGTGACCCAACAACTAACCCCAGACTGGATGCATAAAAGGTCAGGCGGCGTTTTCCCACGGATCTGGGATAGAAGTGTGTGTTTTATATTTAGGAACCCAGGGGGTTGTGTTTGCAGTTCTGGGAGCAGCACAGGATGAAAAGCTAGGCCGAACTGCAGGGATTGATTTGACAGGCTCTGAAATGTGAAGCCCTGCTTTGGCGGGGAGCAGAGCTGTGCTGCTTCAGGAGGACATGCTCCAAGCCCGCTCTCCAGCAGTCTCAGTTGGTAAACAAAACTGGAGAGATGGGCCCATTGTGGCAGAAACAATGTTGTTTCTGCTTCGTAAGGGAATGAAAGAGCCCTTCCTTCAGGATGTTTCAAAAACACAAAAGGGCACGCTGTTTTAAAATCGCTTTTAAACTTCAGGCTTAGTATGGGGGTCGTTTTTGACAACACACTGTTCAGTCCAACCAGGCAGAAAATATCAGATGATGCAGCTCGTGCAGTTCTGAGTCACTCTGGCAAAGAAGTTGGTCCATGCAGTTTGCTGTCAGGTCTTAATCCTGCCACATGCTGATGGCCCCCAGTTTGTGATGAGCTGAGGGTCTCCAGCCATTCCCAACTTCATTCTTCCCCTACCTCTTCCGTGCTGGAGGTCAGCAGATCCGGACAAAAGTGTATTTTGAGATAATGAAACCCATAGCGTGCCCTGTGCCCCAGGCTCCCCAAGGCCCGCCACTGAAGAGCTGTTTTGTTCCTTCTGCAGAGCTGGAGGCTCTTGCGTTTGGACTGATCCTTGTGCTCTCTCTGCCCCTTTCCCTCCTCCTCTTCAGGAGCCACTGGTATTTGCCGAACAGCCGTCCGTGAAGCTGTGCTGCCAACTCTGCTGTAGTGTGTTTAAGGATCCAGTCATCACGACCTGTGGGGTAAGGCTCTTCCAAACCATGAGTGCGGGCTCTGCAGATGTGCTGTGTGAGCTGTAGCCAAGCCTTGCCTGTCCCCAGTGCTTGTCCCCAGTGCTTGTCCCCAGTGCCTGTCCCCACTGCTTGTCCCCAGTGCCTGCCAGCCTGAGTGACCAAAGTCGGGCAGCCCCTGCCCAGGGAAGCTGGGCCAGCATGGGAGCAGAGGTGCTGATGGATGTGTGTGGGATTTCCCCACGAGGCAGCTCTGAACCAGTCTGGGGGGGTGTGTGGGACGCTGCAGTTAGCCAGAGAAGCTTGGGCCTTGCTTAAAATTGGGCAGCTTTTCCCAGAAGAGCTGTGCTGTCAGCCTGCCTGTCCTGGCCACGTTCAGTGTCCTTGGTGTGGCTTCAGTGAGGTCTGAAACTCCTTGTTCCCTGTCCTGAAGGGCTCTGCAGAGTGCTGCTGCCTCTGGGCACCCCAGGAATGGCTGCTCTTCAGTACTGAAGAAAGCGTTTCCTACAAAACAAGGATGGCTTGAAGCTTCATTTAGTTAACGCTTGCAAAGGGATTTGAGATCCCCTAATGAAAGGCAAAGAGTTATGAATATTCTTCTGTATTCCATTTTACTGGGTTTTAATAGAAACTGTGTTATTGCTGCTTCTGTGCTACATGTGAAGAAAAATGGCTTTGTGATGAGCTCTCTGATGCTGCTGACGTGCTTCTGATCGCTAGGCTGGAGCTGTAGTGCCAAAAGCAGAGAGGAGGGTTGTCATTGCACTGAGGGTGCTATCCCCAGAGGGGTTGGAAGTTGGTGCAGTTCCGCTGCACCGTTTCAGCAAGCAGCTCTTTGTGGAGACACTGAGATGTACTGGTTAATACAGAAAAACAAGTCTGCTGCAGGAAGCAGCCTGGCTTTATTTGCAGTCCTGGCTTGGCAGCGCTGGAGAGAGCACCATGCAGCTGTGCAGGGCAGGAAAAACCCGTGCGAGCAGGGCGGCAGATAACTGCTCCCAGGAGTGACTTGCAGTCTCTCCAGCGCTGCTGCCAGGTGCTGGCCCAGTGGCAGGGGAATGTGGCTGAGGAGGCTCCCAGGAGCCCACGGGGCAAGTTCAGGACCAGTGAGATGCTGCAGCCTTTGTCCCTTTCTTTACATTCATTAGCATGTTAGATTCATGTGCTACTTCAGCAAGTTAAATAGTTACTGTACATTCATAGAACCACAGACTGATTTGGGTGGGAAGGGAGCTTAAAGCCCCCCCAGTCCCACCCCCTGCCATGGACAGGGACACCTTCCACCAGACCAGGTTGCTCCAAGCCACATCCAGCCTGGCCTTGGACACTCCCAGGGATGGGGCATCCACAGCTTCTCTGGGCAACCTGTCCCAGTGCTCCCACCCTCTCCAGGAAGAATTCCTTCCTGGTGTCCCATCTCCATCTCCCTCTTTCCATTTAAACCCATTACCCCTGGTCCTGTCGCTCCCTGCCCTTGGAAAAAGTCCCCCCAGCTTTCTTGTAGCCCCCCCAGGCACTGGAAGGGGCTATACATTTCTGCTCTAGGAATAAAGAGCTATTTAATGTGTCAAAAATCACAGTGTGTTTAATGGGCTTCAAACCAGGTGTCCCATCACCTGGCAGCAGGACGGCTTCAGCTACGTTAGGAGAGCTACGGAGGGATATATGTGATGGGCCAAGGACAAGGAGAGGCCAGGCTGGTGCTCTTCCCCCTGAGACTTCTCAAGGGAATGACATGGATATTAGGAAAAACTTCACAGAAAGGGCTGTCCGGGCTTGGAATGGGCAGCCCAGGGAGGGGGTGGAGTCACCATCCTGTGCGAGATTTAAGAGACGAGTTGATGTGGTGCTCAGGATCATGGTTTAGGGTGGACTTGGCAGTACTGGGTTGTCTGTTGGACTTGATGATCTTCAAGGTCTTTTCCAACCAAAACAATTCTATGATTCTTGGCCTGATTCTGGACAAGACAGAACCCTGAGAGCTTCAAACCATGTGCTTAATAATCCTCCGGCACAGGACTCGTGTTGCACTCGGCTGCCTGAGCAAGCAGCTGGTTTTTGCCCTGTGGTGCAGACTGCAGAGCGCACTGAGCTATAAAGCAGGCAGAACAGCTGCTGAGGGCCCTGTGCCACAGGCTTTGCTGTCTCCCACCTTTCCCACCCTTACCCGCAGGGAGTAATTTGTCCGGTATTGTTTACGCTGACACCACTGTTCCTCTTTGTCTCCACAGCACACGTTTTGTAGAAGATGTGCCTTAACATCTGGTGAGTACAGAACTGTTCTGGTGTGATGCAGCCAAAACGCTGTTGTTTTCTGGTTTGTTTGCTTTCACTTAAGAAGAAGCTGGCAGAAAGATGTCTGAAGGGCTTAAAACAAGCTGTTGGTGACGGGCTGCCGCCGCAGCAGCGAGGGGCTGGGGCACGGGTGGCTGTGCAGCTTGGAGCTGTGATGGGACGCACTGTAGCATGGGCACTGGAGGGCTAGGGCCAGCTCCTGGGCACAGGATGTTCTCAAATCCTGGAATATGCAATGGATAATCCCAGGATAATACATGTCTCGCCCAGAGCTGACCCATTGATTTCAGGCAGAAAGCTTTCTGTGCCTGCCTAAGGAACAGGGGCGCCGTGTTTGGCAGAGACCCATCAAACCCCTCCTCCCCCATCCCGTCAGTGCCAGCTCTCTGCCCGCTGCAACTCAAGAGAGCTGCCGCAGCTCACCCAGCTCTTCCAGAGAGCTGGTGGAACCCGAGTGTCTGGCTGCTGGCCTGGCCTAAGCAGCTCCCGTTTGGTTTGGACTCTGTGCTAAAACAAAAGACACGAGCCCGTGCCCCTCTTGGAAAGCCTCAGCACAAAACCAAGCCATTCATATTACCAGAACATCCCTGAGCCCTGAGGAAGCTCCCTGGAGAGTCCACCAAAGCTGCTGCTCTTTCTGCCTTAGGATGTTTGTCTTCCACATGTGAGGGGTCCCTGTGCACGCTAACCCTCTGTCACCATGTGCTGTGTCTATCGCACATGACAAATTTGTAGCAAAAGGCTTTGCAGTTGCAGTCCTGAGTTGCTCCGTTCTGCTCCTGCCCTCAAAGCTCGTGTCTGTGCTGCACTGCAGCATCCCTGGCCTGCAGTGCCTCGTGGCAGCGGTGGAGCCGAGCATCAGGCCTGGGGGGGTGGTGTTAGCTGCTGATTAGTGGTCACTGCCTGTGAATACTTCAGCAAGCGCGAGGTAGTCTGCATCCTTTTTTCCTTGGCAGCTGGCTCAAATTATCTTGGATTAACATGAACTGTGACTCTTCACCAAGCCCCAAGACAAACCAGAGAGAGCGGCTGTAGACCTTGTGTGAATATCTGTGGCTCGTTCCATGGGAGTTGGCCATCCTTGTCCAGAGAAGGCAGAAAAAATACAATCTCCTGCAGCGTTTCAGCCCTTTCTGACCCTCTTTCTCTCTCTTTTGCTTCCCTGGCAGAGAAGTGCCCCGTGGACAATGCCAAACTGACCGTAGTGGTTAACAACATCGCCGTGGCTGAGCAGATCGGGGAGCTCTTCATCCACTGCAAGTACGGGTGCCGGCCTGCAGCCAGCAGCAAGCCCGCTGCCTTCGAGGTGGACCCCCGTGGATGTCCGTTTACAATTAAACTGAGTGCCAGGAAGTAAGTGCCTTCTTGCCAGTGTGCAGCCTCTCCAGGGAGAGGGCTCCACCACCAGCAGTCTGCTCTCCTGTTGGAGCAGCCCCGCGGCCGTGCTCTGGGTGCAGGGGGACATGCGGAGCTGTGGGCATGGGCAAGGTGATGTGAAGAGACAGTTCTTTCCAACGTGTCTCCATTTTAGGGTGGTGGCAGGTGGGAAAGGATGCTGTTCTCTGCTCCCAGCTCACCTGAGTGTCTCGGCACTGGGACAGGGGATACGATGTGAAAACAGCCACCTCACATCTGGGGTGAAAACATGGTCAAGCAGAGACCTTGGGATTCTTGTTGAAAGAGGAGTTATCTTAGTTGTATCCTAGGAATCTGAAATCTATCTCCCTCCCCATCCTAAATGCATACACTGCCTTCCCTGTCAGCTGGCCATTGCCTGTTGGGGATAGCTGCCTGAAGGCTCAGTCGAGCAGCTGCAGAAGGAGATGTTCCCTGCAGAAATGTGACCTGTTACTGCTTTCAACTTACTGGCTAAATGAGGATTTAAAGCTGTAGTTGCTTGGAGTGGGAGGCTTTCCATCACCTAACAGTCTCACAGTGCTGGTTTGCTCCTTTTCTGATGATCTGTGTTGTTTTGCTTATTGCTGATTGTCCCTCCTTGTGCGTCTCTCCGTGGGCAGGGATCATGAGAGCAGCTGTGATTACCGGCCGGTTCGCTGCCCCAATAACCCCAGCTGCCCGCCTCTGCTGAAGATGAACCTGGAGGCACATCTGAAAGAGTGCGAGCACATAAAATGTCCCCACTCCAAATACGGGTAAGGAGCTGATGCTTTTTAGTGGGAAGGATGCACTGAGCTCATTTCTGAGCTGCTTTTTGGCTCCTGCAGCCTTGGGATAGCCCCACAGGCTCTGAGCAACTCTTCCCAGTGCTGTGCGCTGGCCTGAGACCAAGATCAGGCTGGCAGGGCTTGCGGAAGGCAGCCCCCGAGCCTCTCGGGCAGGTCACACTGCCCAGCTGTAAGCCGAGGAGGAGGCTGGGGTGTGTAGGCAGGAGAACACGCTGGAGGAGAGTCAGAGCCGTGGATGTGGCTAGATCCATGCAGGATGAGTACAGGAAAGGCATTGGGGCACCAGCTTTCAAACCAGTTCTTCTCCCAGGGCAAGGGCAGCGCCAGTCAGCCTTGGGGGTTGGTTGTGACATGCGCAGAGGGCGGCCGGGCCGGGGGTTCCATGCAGGATGCACGGCTGGGGTTACTGTGGCAGAAGAGATGATTTGGCAGGAGCAGGGCAAGGCGAGTCCTGACTGAGCAGCCCTGACTCCCTGCCGTGCTGCAGGCCCAAGTCAGCATCTGCCGAGGTTTTTCCAGTGGTTTTAACGGCTCTTAGACTGAGCTCCTGGTGAGCACACAAACTGACACCACGTTCTTGCCCAAAGGCTGCTTTTCCTTGCACCTACCTGAACAGACAGTTCAGTTTTCTGGCCAACATCCTGGCCGGAGGACAGGGAGCTGCTTGGCCTCTCTGTTACCCAACAGTTGCTGGCACCCAGCAGGATTGTGGATGGCAGTGCCACTGCTCCTGGAAGGAGGAGCAGCACAGCTGGGGACCCACACTGGCCTCAGACCCTCCCTCAGGTCTTCAGACCCCTCTCTGAGGAGCCAGCTGAGCAAGGAGGTCTCGCTGGCCCCGCTCTGGCCAACCTCTGCCTTCCCCTTGTAGGTGCACGTTCATAGGAAATCAAGACACTTATGAGACCCACTTGGAGACGTGCAAGTTCGAGGGGCTGAAGGAGTTCCTGCAGCAGACAGACGATCGCTTCCATGAGATGCAGGTGGCAATGGCCCAGAAGGACCAGGAAATTGCCTTCTTGCGCTCCATGCTGGGCAAGCTGTCAGAGAAAATCGACCAGCTGGAGAAGAACCTGGAGCTGAAGTTTGGTGAGTGAGCAGACGAGCTCTGGGGTCAGAGCTGTAGGGACAGGGCAGCTCTTTGTCAGGATGGTGTGTTACAGGATTCGCTCCCTGTTTAAAACTGGTGCCGAGCAGGTTTCAGGAGATTCAGATATTCCTTGCAGAGGAACAAATAGGGGTTGCATCGACTCCTGCTGCCCGGACATCATGGGACCTAATCCTGCAGTCACCAGTCACACGGCCAGTCCTAGAAATGGCTGCGGGCAGCTACCACCTTTCTCCCTTGACCTTTTCCATGGGCACAGGCCCCATAAAAATCAGCCAGTCAAATACCCAGCAATGCAGCCACGCTGGAGCAAGGTTCTTGGACACCTTTGCTGTGCCCAGCCCTGTCGTCCCTCCGAAATTTGCCGGGTCTTCAAAATCCAAGTTCAATTTGCATTCGAGCAGCAGACGCCCTCCTGCTTTGCCCAGCTCCTAGCAGCAGTGCTCTCCCTCCTCGTTCAGAGGCAGGGGGGCGGCGGGTGTCCTCTGCCTGTCCTGGACGCCTGCAGTGACCACGGCCTGTCCATCTCTTGCAGACGTGCTGGACGAGAACCAGAGCAAGCTGAGCGAGGACCTGATGGAGTTCCGCAGGGACGCCTCCATGCTGAACGTGAGGAGGGGGCCGGGCCCTGGGGCTAAAGAGGGGGCTACATGCCATTAGCTGCTGTCTCTGCTGCTAGTTGGCTTGTCCTGCAGCAGGGGAGTGGGGTCTTTTGGGTTCCCCCCTGCTTGCTGGTTCGGTTTGCTTTCACTGCAGCTGGTGTCTGGGTGAAGATTTCCTCTAGGCCGAGTTAAAGGCAGCTCAGTGAGCACATTCTGGTCGTTGGGCCTGCACTGCCGTTGTAACTGTTCCTGCTGTCTTTTCTCAGCCTGTTTGCTGCTCCTAAAATGTGTTACTAGAGAAAAGGAGGTCTTCAGAAAGGAGAGAGCCCACTGCTCCAAAGCCTGGGCACTCCCGTGCCTTTTATGCTGGCCAGGGACACTGTGGCCCTCTCCCTGCCTGCAGGAAGATAAGCAGATCCCTGGGAGTGAGAGCTGTCTCATGATTTTGAGTGTTATTCAAGCACTGACGTTAGGTAGACATTCCTCCCTAGTCCAGACAGGCTGCATCCCACTGGATGTACTGATCAGGAGGAGCTCGTCCTCGTTTCCCTAAGCGTACTAATGAGATGGTCCCCATGGGTGCTGTAGGGACAAGGTCATGGAGGAGACTCCAAAGAGACCTTCCAATTCTTCTCCAGCAAGGTGGGCTTCAAGAGCCCAACTGAGCAAGCAGTCCCCACGCCGATTTGACCATCTTTAGCAGCCTGGTGAATGGCAGAGCAAGGGCTGTGTATTCTGAAAGGTATTTCTGTGCCTGCCTGAGGAGCTCAGTGCCGGTCCGGGATGCTGGCGGCGCCCCGCAGCTGCTGGAGGGAGGAGAGGAGGGTGGATGTGTGCAGTCCTAGAGCAGGAGACATCAGAGTAAGCCAGCTGCTGAGGGAGAGCTTTCACCGGGGGTCGAGTCCTGCCCAAAGGCAAGAGTGGTTTTGGCAGTGGAGTGGGGACAGCCCTAAAGGGCAGACTGGTCCTGACGGCTCGCGGCTCATGCAGCTTGTTCTCTTTTTCAGGATGAACTCTCCCACATCAATGCTCGGCTCAACATGGGCATCCTTGGATGTGAGTATGCAGGTGGTTTTCGCCCTCTCAGGCTGGGTTTGGGTTGCCCAGCGGGCTCGCAGGCACGGCCACGGGTGTCTCCAGGCACAGCAGTGGTTTGTTCACAGCCTCACCTGCTGCTGCTGGAAGAAAATACTGGTGGTAGAGTTTGGCAGAAGCACTGGCTCAAGGACAGCTCACGGTGCCATGGGGTTTGGGGCTGCTGGGGAAGGTGTCAAGCAGACTCTGCCTCTTTGGCATCCGTGGGTTCAGCCCGGGGTTGCAGTAGGGAAATGAGTCTGGGGCTCCAAGCGGTGAGAAGCCAATGAGCTGTAAGGGTGGGACATGGACCTGGGCAGGATGAGCGAGTGGA